CAAACCAACCATCGCATAAAAAAAAAAAAGAGACGAAGAAGCTAGGGAGCGCCAATCGCTACTCGTCACAACAGCTCTACCATGGTCTTTAGTGCCCGCAACCAATGTCTATTTTGTTGAAGTGACATTTTCTTTTGGGAAAACTCATTTGTACAGTCATTAGAGGGTTGAATTTACACCCCTCACACATTAGGGTGGGCCCCACTAGCATTGTTCCTTTTTTTTTTTCCAAGCATCTACAATGCTTCTATGGACAGTAGTCTACGTGGCAAGCAAATACAAAATTTCATGTCCAATTGATGCCTAAAGAATAGATGATCATACTCAAAATTGGTCTCCAATAAATTCTATGAATTGTTATTCAAGTGTCTTTAAGGAAAAAAAAAAAATCACGTCTAAATTTGGAAAGAAAATATTAATTTGATTGAATCACTTCGTTTAGATGACTTTAGAAATTGTCTTTTTTTGTCTATCAAATTAATTTAGTGGATTCCCTATCAAAATGCGTTGAAAAAGCTCCAATGCAATCCATAGATTTCCTCTCCGTGACATGTAAATAGAAGAGTAATAATATTGGACCCCAGTGACTCTAAGAATCTATCTATGTGATACTAGAGTTCACTTGATTCCATTAGTTAAAGTAAAGAATTTATAATTTTTAACCAATTGAATACAATGGACCCCAATGCGGCAATGCCACATAGATTATTCTTAGCACTAATGGAGTTGGATAATAATATTTGGAAATATAAAGTTTATAGACGTCGTTTATTTTATCTTATATGACAATTTTTTTTAATGCAATCCTCATTAGCTTAAATGATGCTATAATGTTACGAAATATGTCGTGTTTGTAAGTAGAATGATGTTATTCATCATCATTGATGTCAATTACCAGTTTAAGTGACGATTGCATGACATCAAATGATATATTTAGTTAAATGCAGGGACGGATTTAGCCCCCCCGTCGTCCGATCCTGAATCCGTCCTTGGTTAAATGCAATGTCATATGATTCATTTAATTGAACCTCTCAAATGTGACCACTTAGACTGATGTTAGATAACATTACTCATGTAATTATGTATATCAATGTTCAATTATATGGGCCTAGTGTTATTGGACCATGTTTAAATATTTGGACATTTTAACATCGGCAATATTGGTCATATTCTCCAATTTTATGCACATGTCCAAGTGGGCCTTCCGCTCTAAGTCTCTTCAAGCCCTTTTTGTTTATTGTAATCCCTTGATTAAAACGTAATTCCATTCTTTTCGCCTAAATGGACCCTTGTCCTTGATTTAGTTTTGGGGAAAATAATTATAAATCAGGTGTATAGTTTACACTAATTCACAAATCATGTTTATAATTTGAAAATTCAAAATTCAGGTATATATAGTATAAAGTAAAAATATTTATTAATTAAATATAATAATGGTCACATATACATAATTATATATCACAATTTATTAACTAGTCACATATTATCAAATTAATTGATTATAGATTATTTTGAGATCACAAATCAAAAATTTTATAGGTCACAGATTATTTTGAAATCATAAATCAAAATTTTTATAGGTCACAGTTTATTTTATTGGTCACAAATAAAAAAAAATTACAGGCCATGATTTATCTATTGATCACATGTTTCTAGATTTGTTGGTCACAAATTACTTTCCAAGTCACAGGTTATCAAATTTTAACGTCACAATTTAATACTTGGTCACATGTAACCAAGTAATTGGTCACGTAAACCAAATAATGGTCACACACCACCGTCCTCAACACTATCGCCACCTCCTTCGCTTTTCTTCGTCGCTACGAGATCCACCACCATCCCCTCATTATTACCACCACCACGACAGCACCACCACCGACACCAACAGCACACATCGCCACTACCAAATCGTCGCTACCAGATCCAATCAAATGCTAACAAAAATACAACCACCGCCACTCTCGAATCTCCGGCTACCACCACCAGCCACCATCAACCACCACCACTAATAATCCACATCACACCACAACCGCCACCATCAACTGCACACAACCAATAAAACTCCATAGTCAAACCACCAGGACGTCACCCGTGCGCCACCGCCTGCAGAATCACCACCTCACCTTCACATCAGCAGTGCCCTGCGGCAGCCACAGATCCGTTTGAAAGTGTCCCCAGCACCACCGCTACTGTTGAAAGAGGAGATACTGTAACAAGAGAAGGCCGGTGCACAGTCTGAACTCTAGCAGTGGCGAGGGCGATGCCGCTGAAGCCATTGCTCGACTCTCCGGCGACGGGAGCTCCTCAATGGTGACAGTAATCTAAAGAAAATGGAGAGGGTAGAGAGAGACGACGAGAGGTGGATGAAAAATGATTTAGGGTTTGGGATTAGGTAGGGTGGGAACAATATTTAATTTTTAAATCAATACCTGAATTTTGATTAAAAAATCTTCTTACCTGATTATTGCACTCTAAAGTTGAAATACTTGGAATTATGTAATTTCCTCTTAGTTTAGATGCAAATGGAATGATAAATAGATAGAAAAGTAAGTCCAATAGAACCTTTAATTTTAGCCGTGGAAGAAATAATTCTTAATCAATCGGAATAAAGAGATTGACATAAGATTATGTTTGACTAAGTTTATTAAAAGTAACTTTTAAATTTTAAATTTAGCTAAACACATTTGTAGCCTCGAAAGTTATTTTTAAGTGTTTTTCCAAATATGTCAAGCTTTTGTTTAGAAGGTGTTTCTTTTTCGATCTTAGTACAAAAGTTGGCCTTTGACAAAGCTTAAAGAAGTTCAGCATTTATTACTTATTTCCTTAAAAGCTTATGATTAACCAACTTTTGTTTTAACTTCGAGATCAAAAGATTTGTCTCGACAAATTAAGTTTTGGCTGAATAATCTCTTCGAACAATATAACCAAAAAAACAACTATTGAAGATAGACTTAAATAAGAAGAGCTAACGATAAGATCTTCACATCGTTTTGGCATAGTGGAGGACACAAGGCGGAGTAATTAGACCTTTGTTTGGAATATCCATAGACTATCATTTATTGATAAATAGGACTGATATGAGACGTCTTGTAGAGAGAGTGGTATTTCTGTTTATGCTTTTTAAAATTACTTGTTATACCAATAAATTTTATTTTTTTAGAAAAATGAATCCGAGCATGATTAGACTGAATTAAAAAATGAAAATTATCAATCAATTCTACTCAGTAGTGTCTAATACGTGACCAATTGACAAGACTGCACGATGCCTTGATAGATCTAAGATTTTAAGCAAAAAGTTTGTGGTTATCCCAGTGACCAAGCGTTTCCTCCATTTTCCAATCATTTATACTCGGTCATCTTCTATACCGTTGCACAATGTGTGTTGAAACATCAAAATCGTAATCTCAATCCTTTATTCATAATGGTCTCACTGCATAAAGGCGAAAGTCACAAGTCCCATCATTAATGCATTCAATTCTTCCCATTCTTTTCCTTTCTTCTTAATTGGGACACAAAATTTCAACATTTACATCCATGTGTGAGTGTGTGGGTGAGAGTTAGTGTAAGGTAAATCTTCGAAAACTCGACCCTCATGCAATTGCATCGACGTATCTTAATAGTGTTTAAAAACTAATTTCTAAAATAGTTTTCTCTTTCGAAAGATTTTTAGAGGAAGCCACGTTAAGTCAGCTTCATCTGAAACTTCTTCCAATTAGAAGAAATATTTTTATAAAACTAATCAAACGAGTTTAAAAATAACTTTTGAGTCTTAAAAGTGCTTTTCAAAAATCATTCTTAACGGGCCTATGTCGGCACACTTAATGTTCAATCATTCATTCATTTGTATGTTTATCCTTTAGAAAACATTGCATGTTATGTGTCTCAATAGATTAATAGAACAAGATACATATGCCTTGTACCTACCTTAATTTGGTACATGATTGTTAGAAGTTCCTTTTTATTATTTACAAAATTAATTAAGGCGAGCTTTGGTAATTATTTTATGGATACAAATACAAGTAATTAGTTTCTCTCTCTCTCTCTCTCTAGCTAGTTAATTAATAGTTAAAACTTCATAAATGGTGTATAGTGTTAAAAACAAGACATGATATACACGTGGGCATTTTTAAGAATTTCAACTTTTAACATTTTACTGTTTAAGATCAAATTAGAGCAAGCAAATTCCTAAATTCAAGTTTTGATGTTATCTATTTGCGTCAAACTTTGATGAAAAAATGAATCACGCCGAAATATAAGGGAGGGTGTCGAAAACGATAATTTAACAAAAAGAGTTTTTGAAATCCCTCGTTGCCAATCTTTTTTGAAAATTTTACACGTCAAATATTTAATTGAATAAATTGTCCTACACGGTAGAGATCATGGATTAACTCCAGTAAAAACAAGACGTGTAGATGGAGCAACTCATCAAGTTTCCATTACAATATGATCCAAACAAGGAAAAGTACTTGATATTTGTTTGTTATTAGTGACATCTCGAAAACATTCGATTAGAAATATGGCTTTCAAGTTAAGTTTCGAATTAATGGAGCGCACGATGATATAAATATTAACAAATCAATTATAACACACTAGATAAACTGAAATCTAAAATGTATAGGTATTTATCCAAAAAAAATTTCCAATATTTCTAACACTTTTGCAAAAAAAATAAATTTATACATTTTTTACACTCCTTTTACAATCCAACAGAGGAAATAGATAAGTAAAAGACATCATAGGATTGGTGAGTTAACGAAAAATAAATAAAAATCATATCTTATACAGATTAAAATAATTTCAATTTAATTAAAAACTCATTTCTAGTTTTGCTCTCGCATTAACTACTTGGAGAAAAAAGAACATGCTGTAGGCACACATTTCTCCATGTTTTTGGCAATTTCTGTACGTTGGACTCAACAGTAAAGAACATGATTATAGAATAATAACAATATTGAACTCATATTCTCCAATACTATATATACCAAACATATCCTTCATGATTAATTTTTTGAACCAGGACCATTTTGTTGTTGGAACTGTTGATACAAAGTTGCCATCCTGCTATAAGCATCAATGTTCATTGGCTGCAATTTCAGATCAATCGGAACTTGTTTAACTAGATATGATGGGGAATTGTAACTACAAGAGAGAAACACGTGACAAAATTTATTACCTGTGAGTGGCATGCTAGGAATGTCGATAAGGGGTCTACTGGCATTACTGAAGTTGGTGGCAAACGATCCCCGGGATTATCCCATGATGGCACAGGCACGTAGGCTGCCGGAGGAGGAGATACAACTGGAGGCATTCCGGCACAGCCAATTGTGTTGATGTCCATGAATCCCATTCCCATTTGAGCCATTCCCATTCCGGCCATTCCCATGGGAGACATCATAGGCATTTGAAGCTGTTGTTGCATTGCCAAAGGCAACATCATAGGCGACATGTTCATTCTACTCATCATCTGAACTTGAGCTTGCAGTTGTTTCAGGTATTCTATTACTTCATCGAGCATCGAGGCTTTATCCACCTTGATAATGTTTAGTACTATGAGATGTTTGTACAATATTCATCGAGTCATATTCAATAAAATGTACTAAACGTGCTTGACTCGATTCATTTATGATGATGTCATTGAAACAATTTATCCATTCAAGGGATCGCCAAGCATAAGGTGTTTCCCCACCTAGACCAAATTTATGTGGTAACGTATGATTTGTCTTCATAACCAACAACTTTCTGTCTAGTTGTCTTGTCTGTATAGCAAGATTTATGTGGACTGGGATCTTTATTAAAATTACCATGTGAATGCATCAAAATGTATTGCACAACTTTTCACAACATTGTGTGCAACAGCAGAAGCAGTCTATACTTTGAATAATTAAAGCCTTCAATTTATTTAATCAATACCAGATTTTTAGTATATTTTAATAAAAATTAATGTAATGTATGGTTGAAAAGTTGATAAAAGTTGTGAATCCCATGAATTGTGTAGTTAAAAATGAATTTGAAGAAAATGAGTTTTAAAAAATCGAGGTCAAGCATGAACTTAATTCGTAGGTTATAATATATATCATTAGTAAAATGAGGGAATATTAGAAAGTGAAAATTGCTTAATTAATATTTATGAAGTGAAATATTTATACCTTGCTGGAATTGGGAACCAACTTCTGCAGAGTCTTCATCCTTTGATTAATTTTGTCTCTTCTTTTCTGAGACATCAATAGATTTATCAGTATGAACTTGTTTGATGTATATTTTCTAGAATAAATTTTATGAAAAAGTGGTTCTTTTTAAAAAATGTGGTTAAAAATAAGGAAAAGTTATGAGTCTACATACAAAATTATTTATTGAGAGAATGTTGTAATTGAAATGAGTTTTAAAAAAAGCAGAAAATAATATTTTTTTTCATTTTTAGAAACGGTTCATCGCGCACGCGCACACACATATATATGCACTCGGAATAGCATAAGAAGACTCGTTGCCAAGAATGTTACCGCATTAGATCTTCCAATAGATATAACATTTATTAATCAAAGAAAATTACGAAAAATTCCTACACGTTCAGACTGGTTGTGAATTGCAGCTGCGCGGCTCCTTTTGGTCGAAACCGAGGATTTTCCATGTCCTTTCTTCTTCCTCTCCTCGTCACCTGCCTCAGTCTATAAATTAACAGATAAATAATCAAAACTGGAAAAATTACACATTGAAAATGTATATAATGTAACAATAATCACCTGGTAAATGATATGACAAAAGAGTACAAATTTGTATTTTTGAAGAAATTATAACACATGTATAACTGACAAGTACATACGTACTTACCCTTGATATGCTGTGACAAACCGAGTCAAGGTCCTCTGCAGTTTTGGTACAATCTTTGGCGGAACTGGTGTTTTCCGGCGAACCCAAAGAAGCCGTGGAGGTGAACCGTGCACCCAGTTCTTTATCGGAAGTGTCAAGTGTCACTTGACAACTCTCTCTCCCACTCATGCTTTGCTCAGGTCTCGGCCATTTGTGTGAATTATTCATTCCCACACGTACCATCCTTGAGCCCCTTAAAGTGGTCGCGCCGGCGCCGCTGCAGGATCCCACACCGGTGGAGCATCCCACCACGCACGTGCCAATTCCCGACACGGATTCCATCACTTGTGTAGCTGAAGTTTCTTGATTGTCGTTTCTGCCCATATTATTAGTGCATGGCACTAGGAAATCGGCGACTGAAGCACCGACGGCATGATTAACCAGAGAGCGGTGGTTATCAATCCATTTCACCAGCTCGCAACCACCGATTCCACCACCGTCCATGGTTGACTTACTTTCCTGGAGGCGGGTGGCTTGGTTGACTATTGACTCAAGGGTTCCACCGGCCCGTGGCTTATCCCAAGTGTACTTTGCGGGGGAGGAATTGGTAGTAGTTTTATTAGGCACCCTCGAAGGGCCTAAACCATGCATGGCTAGCTGCCCATTTTCCCACGTTAACTCTGCTACTTCATAGTCCAACCTGCAGTGTAACAAGAACATAAAAACCACAATTCATCTTTATCATATGTAGTATTTCAAAGATGTAATACAGAGAGAGATTACGAAGGGACGTGAGTGGTCAAGGAATTGGAGTTTGAAGGAGCAGGAAGAGCGATCCTAGGAGTGGTGGGATTCTCATCATGCTCCGAGCTTGGTACACACTGATTCATCTTCAAAGAAACACAGTTACACAGCTAGACTTCCATATTTTCTGGGAGAAAATAGTCAAGGATGTAACGAAAATGAAAAAACAAGAGAAAATCTTTTTCTTTGTGTCCAATATATATGTGGATGTGGACTATTGAAAGTTAAAGGACAAATTGTGATTCGTAGAGATAAGAACAAACTAAAATTGAGAGAGATACAATGCATGAATGTACATATGTGGTCTCCATGAATAGAGAGGAGTATATCTTATTGAGAGAGAGAGAAATTTTGGGTATCTTTTGAAAGAGATTTTGTGGGCGGATCTACTTTAAATACATCGAAAAATACGTCATATAGTAATTTCAATCATTAGAATTAGATATCGTTACCCAGTGTGTACAGATGTTGTGTGTACCGTATCAACCTGAGATTACTTTTCATTGCACTCATTTCATCGTGGAATCGAGCTTAAATGAATCAATTATGTTACGTGTACAATGATGGTTGACAATCATGATTTGACACTATCACATTCATTCATTTTTCAAAAAAATCAAAATCTATTTTTTTAAATCAACTTTCCAGATTTTACCGCATCAAACATTGTCAATTATCATTATACAAGTTGATTAATTCTAAATGAATACTTGAAGTTGGAAAATGTATTTTGCCCTGATTGATGGGAATTAAAATTAGATTTTTAATATATTTTGATAAAGGTTGATAAAATATGTGACTGAAAAGTTGTGGAACCCATGAAATATGTGGTTAAAATTAATTGTTGACTTTGATTTAGATTAAAATCTAAATTTTAATCCATACCAAATATGGACTTTGTAATAGTGATTTTTTTTTTTTAAAGAATGTGTGGTCAGATTGTACTTTGCCTATTTATTCTTTTTTTTTTTTATCGAGTCAAAAAATATTCGAGTTATAAAGTATGAACTACCCCCTTGCTGTTGCAACACCTCCTAAAAAGAGTTTCCCTTGGACTACGAACGGGAAAGGATGAAAGCGAGTCGGTATGCTAATTCCTCATCTGCAAATCAGCCCTTCCCGTAGGGTATTTTCTCAACGAATAAGTAATTGTAGGAGTTAAATCTTGATATAATTTGAAAAAGCAAACAAGAGGTCCAAGGCAATAAAATATGAAAAATATGTATTTTTCATATTTCTAAGATTAAACAAAAGGATTTGCAAATAAAAGTGCTAATGCTACAACCAATCCATAAATTGTTAAAGCTTCCATAAAAGCTAGACTAAGCAATAGAGTACCTCGTATTTTTCCCTCTGCCTCGGGCTGTCTCGCGATACCCTCTACAGCTTGACCCGCAGCAGTCCCTTGACCAACTCCAGGTCCAATAGAAGCAAGCCCTACGGCCAATCCAGCAGCAATAACAGAAGCAGCAGAAATCAGTGGATTCATGATAAGTTCCTCGTACCAAAAAAAAGAAATGGTTAATGATACAATCAACCAATGAATTATGACTTAATTATTCCATCGGTAGGATTCATCCAGTCGAAGTAACTAATAACTTCGAATTGAAGTAATAATATTATTGAATCATCAGAACTACTTCGATATTTCTTTTTTCGTTTCTATCCACAGAATCTTTGTGAATCCATAGGACTTTCGTCCTTCCATTTCTTGGTTCCGAACTGTTATTTCAATTCTTCCATCTTTTTCTTGATTTCATCCCCTTATTCAGTCAATTCACAGTCACAACGAGATGGAAGGACTTCTATTGGAATCCACATACAGTAGAAAATGAAATATATCTTTAGTTCATATATAACTAGTCAATATCTAANATTGAGCCCGTTCCTGGAGAAACAGATCAATATATCTGTTATGTAGCTTACCCTTTAGACCTTTTTGAAGAAGGTTCTGTCACTAACATGTTTACTTCCATTGTAGGTAATGTATTTGGGTTCAAAGCCCTGCGTGCTCTATGTCTGGAAGATCTGCGGAGGGAAACATGCAAAATTATTTTATTGGGAAAATGTACAGTTAAAAATGAATTTGAAAAAAAAAAGAATATTAGAGAATGAGGCTCAAATATGAACTTAGTCTAATATTTTTTTAATTATCACTAGGACTGAAACGCAGCTATCAAAATATGTGATTGAAAAGTTGTGGAACCCATGAAATATGTGGTTAAAATTAATTGTTGACTTTGATTTAGATTAAAACCTAAATTTTAATCCATACCAAATATGGACTTTGTAATAGTGATTTTTTTTTTTTAAAGAATGTGTGGTCAGATTGTAGGAAAAAATTGATTACATGCAAAATTATTTTATTGGGAAAATGTATAGTTAAAAATGAACTTGAAAAGAAAAAAGGAATATTAGAGAATGAGGCTCAAATATGAACTTAGTCTAATATTTTTTTAATTATCACTAGGACTGAAACGCAGCTATCAAATTCAACTCTAACGTCGAGTTAGTTTATTGCGAGAAAATCCGACCGAATTTTATTACTTGTACTATAGGTTATTTACATGACCTTTTTGTGTCTACGAAAATATTTGTCAGTGGCTTCATTTAGAAGCAATGACTTATCGTGTTAATAATGACCTAACTATTAAAAGTACTGCGTACTAAATAAGCACTTAATCGTTGATTAGGTTGAAGAATTGCAATAACCATAAATCGAACAATATTATACTTCAAGAGTAATATATATCCTAATTCTTGACTGAATTCTAATAACCACTTTACATATTGAATGCAGCATTCAGCTGACACTGTGGAGGAATATTCTAGGCATAAACTATAAACAGAGCTAAATGGGGAATTGCATAATTGAAGAGATTGTAAGCACATGTACATGAAAGAGTCAGATTAGGCGTGGGGAACCCAAACTTTGGACTGCAAAAGGAAGATTGTCATTTGGCAAATTGCTCGAAACGAATTTAACTTTGTATGATTGATCGACGATTATTAACATTAAGACTATATGAAAGTGAGTCATAGACTTCGGACCATGAAAGGTGATGCAAGATGTTGGCTCGAATTTGCATTTTGGAGGCGCGATTTAGAAAAGACGCATTTCTCTATAAAGAATTAAATCATAGCCATTGAGGATTAAGATTCACCATGGCATTTGATCCTTGCTTCTCTCATTTATTAGGGTAACGTCGAACACCTATCTCTCTCCCCCTCTACAAAGTTAAGCACGTCTTTCTCTCTCAAAATGATTACTATGTGTATTGATTTTCTTTGTGAAAACTTCTAATTTCTTGTGGATAATCATTGCGTTGTAGTCTGAATTGAGCGAGAAACTATTGTAAGGAGAAAGCGTGAGCGTGGTATAGTTTTCTATTATACCAAGTGTTTGTAATATTTGAATCACATAAAGCGGAATACATATATACTGAAAAAGTAAACAGAAGTCGAGGCAGAGTGCACCAAACGAAATGATGCATCGACCTTTGGGGTTTGTAATTTACTAATTGATTGACATGGACACAGGTTGGGTGCGGGGGCTTAGCTCCCGTGATACGGTACATGGGTATTTTAGATTTTTCCTAATATTTTGTACGGTATAGGTTAATATATACGTTGTAACCCTATTATTTTTGCACAGTGAAAATCATAGCTACTTCGTTTTCGAGGATGTATGCCTATTGTCGAATCACGTAAAGAAAGAAAATATGTAGATTTTCATTTTTGCCTCACATGACACAGCACCAAGATACATCAAGAATCCATTAATAGCAAGTATAAAAGGTAGTGGATAATAGCCATGGAAGAGGAAATGAGACCACTTAAAAAAAAAGTGAAGTTGGGAATTAGTTCCCAAACTCAAAAACGGAAGTCTGCAGTAGATAGTAAGTGGATTTTTAAAGTTAAGAGGAAACACTGCAACTTAACCATTAAGATTTAATTCAAGATTAGTAGTAAAGGCTTTAGTCAAAAAGAGGGAGTATGTTACAATGAAAATTTTCTCCTACTGTTAAATGAACTAATTACGAAAATAAAATGAGATTTATTTCCAGAATTTGATACGGAAGATTTTACGAACGAAAATATATTTTTTAAAAGTTCATTTTCAACTATACATTCTCCCATAAAATAATGTTATAGTAACTCAAAAAAATTTCTTATTTTTTAACCACTCATTCTCCAAAAAAATCACTATTCCAAAATACATTTTTATCCAAAATTTCATTTTAATGGAGTTCAAACAGTGGTTAAATCATTGTTAACATTGACTCGGACTCCTCATACTATTAAGTGCTTGCTAAGTTTGCTGTGAAGAATGCAAACTGAGTATGTTTCACATTATAGGGAACCATTTTAACTTGAGTAAAAATGAGTGTCCCAAATCTAGGGCAAGACAAAACCGAATCGATTGATTCTTTTTAAGTTAAATACTTGAATGGTATATGAACCGAAAAACGATGGATTCGGTTTGATTCGGTTCGGTTCTCAATTCTAGACCATGAACCGAAGAGCCGAATATCTTTAATTTTTTTGTCGTAAATAAGTCAAATTATTTTTTTATATATATAAATTTGATAACTAATTTATTTAGCCCAAACAAAAAATAAGATTTTCCTATTTCTAATTTTCAGCCCAAGTCTAATTAATCAAATTAACCTAAATTTTACTCAAATCTCTTATTCTATCGTAGTGTAGTTTCTAAATGGAGAAATCGAATTGGAAACCTCTATTTATTATCGCGAGCTCGCTATTTTCATTTTCTTGTGATTTTAACTGCCAAATCTATGAGAACTCAACAAAGAGAGACTCAAAAGATATCACGGGATTTGATTACGTTATTTTGTAAGAGCTAAAATTGAACATGTCATTAGTTGAATTAATGTAGCATTGTTGTAAATATAAAAAAAAATTAATTATTGTACAAAACCCGAGAACCGAACAGTTCCATAATTAAATTTAGACCTGACGATGCCATTTGCTAAATACCTCGAAAATTCGGCTTCTGTTCGGTTGTCGTTAGAATTGAACCGGACTATGTCTAACCTAACCCAAATTTGAAGATAGAATAGGACTATATGAATAATAAGGGGTTAACTTTTAAACAATGTGGAGAACATATTAAACTTAAGGAATATGTTGATGTTGATTATGCAACAAATAGAGATAGCATAGTCCATAACTGCCTATGTGTTTACTCTTAGTGATGGGTGTGTAAGCTAGAAATCCCAACTTCAACATATTATGGTCTTATTTACTATAGAATCTGAGCATATAGCATCCATAGAGGCTGCAAAAGAAGCTTTATGGCTTCAAGGAATTTTAAAGAAATTGGTTTAAGCCAAAAAGGTGTTACTGTATATTCAAATAGTCAATTAGTCGGTCAATTGTTTATGTAAGAATCTCGTGTTTCATGAGAGAAACGAGCATGTGGATGTTAGGTTACACTTCATGAGAGATACTGTTGCTAAAGGTTTGGTAAGGCTTAAGAAAATACCTTCCCAATTTACCCCATCTGATATGGAACCAAGGTTTTACCATTAAGTTTAAGCACCCTTTAGCTTACTTGATATTAATACATGTTGGTTGATCTAATTTTTAAATTAGGTTTATTGAATATGTACTGATTTGTTTTGGTCATTGCAGGTACACGAGACCTTAAAGCTCAATAGTGTAACATAGTTAGGTGCACTCAGGTGATGTCAAGAAGTGATTGCTTGTATCAAGGTGGAGATTGTGAAAGGTGATACGAGCAGTTGGCTCAAAGTTTCATTTTTAGAGGCACGTCTTATAAAATGTGTGTCTCTTTGAAGAATTAAATCATAGTTGTTGATGATCAAGATCCATCACTGTCATTGATCTTGAGTATAAAAGAATTGCTTCTTTCATTGTTAGGGTTACGTTGAATCCTATTTCCCTCTCTCTACAAGGCTATGGACAATCTCTCTCTCAAAAGAGGTTATTCTCTGTATTTATTTTCTTTGTGAAAACTTGTAGTTCTTATGGATAATCATTGTGTTCTGAATTGAGTGAGAAATCATTAAGTGGAAATCTGATTCGGTTTAAGATAAATCGATTGTTACCAGATTGGTTTAGAGCAAAATTTAATATCATATTTGCATTAGGAGAGATTAAAATATGTGCTTGTGTGAACTATGATTAACTTGACCACTTTGGCAATTACATTACATTTGTAATAAACGTGTATGATCCATCAGTTGAATTACTGACCTACCGATTGAACTATTGACTCGATGATTCAATGATTTGTCCGGGTCGAGGACCAAATCCGATATGATAATTATGGATAATAGTGGTTTTAAACCCATACTTAATTGTAGATAATATATTGTTTTCCTTGTTTAATTCCCTTTCTAATTAAATTTTATTTGCCTTATCCATGGTTTATAATCGCATTAGTCATCATATGCAGGGTCATTCATGTGGGTATCTTAGTCTACAACCTTGTATCACTAG